AACTAAAATGACAGTTTCACACAAAGACTAGACTAAAACTAAAATTAAAACAGGCCGCCAAAAACAACACTAATGGCCACTCCTGAAACCTGACTGGTTAGCGTCCGTTGTAGGATGGCTGGAGAGGAGAAGTTTTGATACTTCTGCCTCAGTAAGGGGACAGAAGGAGAAGATGAGAGTTTTAGCAGTGGGTGTGGTTTGAGGTCCTGTGTGTGTGGGGCTGAGAATTGACTACCGATTGTTCTAGTATTGTCTGTGAAGAATGTGGCAAAATCATCAGCTGTTATAGAAGTGGTGGGAGGTGGTGGAGGGGGACAGAGGAGAGAATTAAATGTTTTGAAGAGATTACATGTGTCTGGATCGCTGTTGATCTTGTTGTGGAAATATGAAGATTTGGCAGTATGGACTTCAGCAGAGAAAGATGAAAGCAAAGACTGATACATACTCAGGTCTGACGGATCTTTTGATTTGTGCCATTTTCTCTCTGCTGCCCTGAGTTTGGTCCGATGCTCACAAAGAACATCGGATAATCAGGAGTTAGAAGGGGCAGCCCGTGCTGGGCCAGAGGAGAGAGGACAAATATCATCTAGACAAGAGGTTAAAGTATAGCATAAAGTGTCAGTTGCTGCGTTCACATCCAGAGATGAGAAATGGGTAGGTGAGAGAAGAGAGGAGGATACTACAGAGGAAAGATGGGAGGGTGAAAGGGAGCGTAGGTTTCGTCTAAAAGTAACCGGTATAGGGGTTGGGGGCACAGAGTTTAGCATAAACTTCAGCTTTTACTACCTTCTTAGGTGCATCGCTTGATACAGGAACATTCAAAACTTTAGCAATTTGTATTAAATCTATTAAATTAGTCCATGCCGATAGCACTGTTGCACTTCAGGTGTCCCAAGTTCGAGTCCCGGCTCATGGACATTTTGCAATCACCCCCCCCCTCCGCTTTCTGTCAACTTACTGTGAAAAATAAAGGCATAAAACGCCAAAAATAAATCTAAAAAAAAAAAAACTTTCACAGAATGTATTAAATTGCTGTAAACTAGGTTTACAAAGAAATGCTCCAATGTCTGACTCCATAATTAGCTTTCATTATTACTACATTTTACTCACCAAAAATACAGAAAACAGTACCGCTTATTGGACATTTGTTAACTGCAGCCCAAGACTGGTTGCCCACTGAAACAGGGTTCCTGTAACGAATTGAACAGACTAGACTCACCGACAGCAGGTTACAACATCAATACACCACGAGAGATAATGGCAACATGATGGCTACTTATAGCAAACAAGAGGGTCACATGACAAGAACAAACCAATGGGAAACAAGACACATGACTAAGACTACCAATCAGAACATGACACAATGAACAAGCGAACCAATGGCAAGAATACAAGAGGGCAAGGGAAACATGACACAAACACGGAGCAGGCAGAGCGAGGGGCCATGGCGGAACAGGCAGAGCGGGGGGCCATGGCGGTGCAGGCAGAGCAGGGGGCCATGGCAGACAGTGAGTTCATGAACGGCCTTGTGGCCATGACAGGGCAGACTGTGAGTTCGTGAACGGCCTCCGTGGCTAGCCATCAGTATGGCTGCAATACCATGCTAATGTTTATTGTTGTAATTAAGACCCAATCAATTAAATTGTTGACTTTTTGACTTTTAAGTCTTAATATAGTAAAATTTAAGACATAAGACTAAAAAAACTTAAAGAAAACAGACAATGCTTCAGGAAAGGTGTTTAACAAAGTTTACTAAACATTGATTATATATATATAGTCAATATTTCACATTTAAAATATTGAAATTACTTCAACTCTGCAACAACTCAGTTTTTACCAACAATGTAAAATGTAACATTTCATCTCACTTAATGTAGTATACACTTTAATCCAGTGTGCCATAGCGTAGAGCTTTATAGCGACATAGTACATACAGCTCAGTACAAGTACATAGGATGGATCAAGGTTAAAACATAACCTAATATATACATAACTTTCCCTCGTATGACAATGACGTGACTGGAATAAAGCAAATAGACTACAAAACCCGGACCTATCCTCTTAATAGCGCTGCTGGCTAGCGTGGTGTCTAACTAAAAATAACTTGGCAATAGCTACAACAAAACTGTAAAAAACGCTCTTACAATAGCTACAGCAAAACTGTAAAACTGTAAGAGCGTTTTTCTGCGCTCTGTTCCGCTATCGCGGCGCAGTCCGGTGACATGACAAAGAAAGCTGATCCTGATTGGTCCTCGTGTGTGCATTCGAAGTGCTGATTGGCTTACGCAGATAGAACCTTATAGAACCAAGTTACAGTTCAACTTTGTAGATGGAACCTTTTTGTTTTCTAAAAAAAAGTCCCAAAATGTACACAACTTAAAAAAGAAACATCACATAATGTAAATAAGTTCACAGAATAGGAATATGTGAATAACTAAATTTTGACAAACATGTCAGATAGAACCTTATAATTCCAAGGTGACGAAGTAACAAAACAAAACTAACCAATTTTCACAAAAACCTGGAAACCTTACCTAGAAATCAGATTATAAAAGAAATACAAAACGCTTCTCTCCCTACTAACATATCCAGGAGAAAACAAATGTCTCACCTCCCTATCATGTTCCGATTAAACAATGGTCAGGAAGAAATAAGAGCCGAACTTGAAGTAAATCACAATTGGAAAATAGTTCACTTAACTAAATCACAATTGGAAAATAGTTCACTTAACAAATGACAACAAATGACTCATGTACCAGTACTTTAACAATCACTCGTTATACAACAAACAGTAAACAACCAAGGGAGCAATGAGAGCGGGATGCCACATATCCATAGCTCCAGAGGCTTAAATATAGCAGCTCCTGTGAGTAATTACAGCTCAAGAGTAGAGTCATAGAAGAGTAGAGTAGGGAGGTGGGATAAGAGCTTAAGTGTTTTTTTTTTTGTTTTGTTTTTTACATCAGAGCATGCCAGGATGATGGAGGGAGTCCAACATTGCTTTTACCTTTTGCCATTGAGTTTGACTTCTTGGATTGGAACATTAGCCAGGGTTGCTTGATGGAACACACGCCATGCAAACCAGGCTTGTATGTCCGATGTGATGGAGTCTGTGGGCATTGGCTCATCCTGGAGTGCAGACTGGTGATCTACCCAGGAGGTACCCTCTGCAGGTTGCTAGTCCATGGAATACTTTTGGAGAAAAGAAGGAGCCCTCTCTCCAGTGTTTATGGCATCTGTTACCTCAACCACTAAGGATGAATGCCTCTACAACATCATGCTCCATGAGCTTAGTCAGTATCTGAGGGCTGGGCTACAGGAGTCTTGGAAGGGGAATATTAGCCACAGCTTCTGTAGATGTATAAGCTCCTGCTCCATCCACTTTTGACTGGTGACGAGCCTCTCTTGGTCAGCTGTTCTATAAGGTAGTGTTCTTTGTCTGCGAATGAGAGAGAGGTAGAAACATTACCATCTGTTCTCCTACTCTCCATTGCCCGTGTTTTCCACCACTGTGGGAGAAGAGAGGAGGTGCACAATCAGAAAGCAATGCCATTTACCCCGAAGGGGTCCACTTATTTAGCAAAGCTGAAGTGACTGTGAGGCCATTTGAGTGTGAGCCAGGTGGTGAGCTTGTGCGATTGTTCTACCTTTCATCCACTGGTGTGAGTTGAATTAGTGTTTGGTGAGTTGTGGTATCTTAGGATGATGAGAAGCTTGGCATAGCTCACTGGTTGGGTTCAGTCAGTGTTTAGGAAAGAATAGAGACTTTTGTGTTAGTCTTTCTTTGGAGATAGTGGTTACCATCACTTGGGAAGAGCTCAGTTTATATCGTCACCCACTGATGAGGTGGATTGCTGTCACCTGTGCCTGGTTATCTCAGCTTCACTTCTTTGTTTGGGCTGGTTGCCAAGGATAGCACTGCTTTGCACTGGTTCCCCACACAATATATTAAGGTAGTTTGTATTTAAATTTATTTTATGTGGCATATGTCTAAACATTTGTGATCACATAACATATAACATATAATACCTATTTATCATTGTAGCCTATAATTTATTTAAACTATTAAATTGATTTTCTGTACATTTTAATTTTGGACTGATAGTTTATAATAAGTGCAATTAATATGGTAGCATGCCAGATAGTCTGTAGTAATAGTATCATGTTACTGTCAGGTCAGTGTTAAAGGAATTCTGGTTAAGCAGCAACTTGGGCTTAGCCTGACAATTAGCCTGGCCTGGCCCAGGTCAGTTTCCCAGCACAAGATTGAACTATGTTGGATCTGATTTATGGAACCGAATCAACTGACACTGAGTCAAACTATCTGAAATAAACCTTGCTATGTTGGTAAACTTGATTCATGCAACAGGTCTCTGGCCACCTTAGTCTACACTGCATAGTGAATCAAAGTGCACCTCAGGAAGCATACAATTCATGACCGCTTTAAACAAAATTAATGTATATAATTACTGTGTTTTCCACATGTGTTCTCCTTCATGTTCCCTAGTTGCGATTCCCATTTTGTATAAAACATTTTGCATCCAAGTTCAACTCCATTGAAGAAGATTAGACTAACCAAAATAAACTCTTATTTTTTAGTTTTCAGCCCACTCTCCAATTATCTGCTACTCACAATATCACAAGCCCTCTGGAAGACTATGTAGAGAATTTCCTGAAGGTCTCCTACCTGGTGTGCTGGGGAAGATGGCATGCTGAAGATAAATGTAGCTGCCCCCAATAGTACTTTTGTGGCGGAAGGCTAACCTGGGTTCTTTTAAGATCTGATGTCTGCTCAAATGTCCTTTATTTTAACATGGACAAAAGATTAATCAGGTTGCTGGTGTTCTCAAGTAGTCCCACAGTAGTAAAGGGAAATTAAATAACTGCACTGAAAAAAAAAAAAAAAAAAACAGTGCTGAAAAAAAAGTGCTGGTTAGGTATGTTTTGATGCATGGCAACTGGTTTAGGCTGGTTTATGCTAGTCATGTGCTGGTCCTAAGTAATTAGCTCCTGCTCAGGACCAGTTCATAACCAGCTTATAACCAGCTCAGGACCAGCTTACACCAGCTCGTGACCAACTAAGGACCAGCTTAAACTCCTAATAAAAGCTTAAACTCCTGATAAAAAAATTAAATTAAATGAATGAGCTCACCACACGTAGGTTATGCAATAGCACCGTCAACGTCGAATGTGCAGTGCTCTCTCAGTGCCGATGTAGAGCACTCGCCATCGTGACGAATGTCACAGACTGTACCTTTTACCTTTAACCTGTAACGGTACCTCCAATGGAAGCATTGTGGAGAAACACTGTGCTCTTCTTAATTATTCAGGCAGTTTATCAATTCTTTTATTACTTGACCTCAGCTCAGCTTTTGATACTGTTTGTCATAAGACATTATTATCTCGCCTTGCAGAGGTTGGCATCTCAGGTTATGCATTATCCTGGTTCTCCTCATATCTCACAGATAGGCAATACTTCATCTCACTGCACAATTCCAAATCTCCCACTGTCTTGCTCAAACAGGGTGTTCCCCAGGGCTCAGTTCTCGGACCATTATTATTCATCCTCTACATTCAGCCTCTTGGCCAAATAATTCGTCGTCATGGTTTTAACTACCACTGTTATGCCGATGACATCCAGATATATACTGCTTGTCAACCAGATTCTACCCATTCGATGGCATCCTTATCTTCATGTGTCAGTGAGTTAAAGGATTGGCTACATTCAAATTTTCTTAGTCTGAACTTGAGTAAAACAGAAATTGTAATAATTGGTCCCCCATCTCTAATAAAAGATAAAATTGATGTTTCTAGCTTTGACCTTGACGCTATTTCTACTTTTCCATCGGCTATTAGAAACTTAGGTATCATTCTAGACCTATCACTGACCTTGGATGACCACATTAGCAAACTCTCCAAAGCTGCTTTTTTTCAACGTCGAATTGCGCAACTTCTTCCTTTCCTCAGTAGAAAAGATGCGGAATCATTAGTGCATGCATTTATTACCACTCGCCTTGACTATTGTAACGCTCTTTTCTCTGGCTTACCAGCTCACTCCATCGTTCGTCTGCAGTACATCCAAAATTCTGCTGCCCGATTATTAACTTCCACAAAAAAATCTGCTCACATCACCCCTATTCTATTTAATCTTCACTGGTTGCCTGTATCTATTCGTGTGCAATACAAAATTCTTCTGCTCACCTTTAAGGCACTCAATGGTCTTGCTCCCTCCTATCTTTCCGACCTACTTTCTTCTTATATACCTTCTCGCGCACTCCGGTCTTCTAATTCTGAACTTCTTTGTGTACCTAGGTTCCGCCTATCTTCAATGGGCGGCAGGTCCTTCTCTGTTACTGCACCCAAACTTTGGAATTCACTTCCCCTGGCACTCAGAACAGTCACCTCTTTCAGTGAATTCAAATCAAAGCTTAAAACTTATTTGTTTAATAATCAACACTATCACTAATTTACATTGTGTATTTGTCTGTTTTGTTTTCTATTTCTGTCTTTACTACATAATCTGTGTTATATGCAACTGCATTATTTGTAACTGAATTGGGCAAATGTCCAATGAAATTGTTTCTTTGTAATCAATATTTGCTGCTTTGGTGTACCTTGTAGAGCGTCCTTGAGCTTGGGAAAGGCGCTATATAAATTAAACATATTATTATTATTATTATTATTACCTCCAGTCAGCTTAGTCAACAAACATGAACAGTCCCTTGTCCCACACAGTGAATGTACTAGCAGCTAGCGGCTAGCGGCTAGCGTTAAACTCCAAACTGTCCATAAACAAACTGGATTAGGCCTTTAGATAAATCACTGTTCAGCATTGAGAAATAGGGTCAAATTTACTAACAGCTTGCGCCAGCGCAAACCGTCTTTTGGCATTAAAATAGTATTGTCAGGATTTACTAAAGACGCGCAGTGGAGAATTAGCACTGAAAAAGCATGGACACAGTTATTTTTGCACCTGACCATATTGAATATGCATTTGTAGGAGTTTTCCTTTCAGACACAAAATTTATGGGAGGAGATTATTCATGTATTAATTTATTACAAATGCCAGAAGAACACATTATCCGAAATGGCTGCAATTATTGTTGCTAAGAGGAGGCACTGCAGAGAACAGAGAGCATGTGGTAGAAGGGAGAAGGGTTTTTCCACATGTATTAATTTATTTGTAATGCCAGAAGAACACATTATCCAAAAATATAATTTGCCAAGCCATGATATTTTTAACTTGCTTCAGGAAATACAAGACATCTTGGAACCCTCAACTAGGAGTCACGCAATACCAGGTCTATCAAAACTTCTTGCAACCCTAAATTGTTTTGGCCTCCGGTTCTTTTCAACATACTGTGGCTTCTTTATTTCTTTATTCTTTATTTGCGACTACGCTAATTTGCGCTGCGCTTGGTATATTGCGTTGGTCCATATGTAAATTAGATATTGCGTCTGTGCTCTTTAATTTATGCGTTGTTAGTAAAATCACCCGCAGAAATTTCCACGCCCTTCGGTACTATTTTGGAATTGCGCTCTCGCGCTAATTTGCCCTGTTTATTAAAACTGGCCCTTAATCTGATAGTTGTAAAGATTAGTCACCCTAATCTATCATATGCCACCTGAGAAATATGTTATTCACATATCACTGTCTATATTTCTTGTGTTCTCTGCGCACTGCTTTTTCTTCCTGTCTGACGTCATCTCTTTCTTTTTTGGCACTTGCACAATACAACTGGTGAGCCTATGAAACTTCCACTTTATAAAATACAGTAAATATTTTCATGTCAAGTGACAATAACAATGTACATTTCTTTTTACAGAACTGGAAAAATGTACAATATGAAAATAAACAAATTTAACAAACCACTGACTGATGTCTAATTTATTATATTTCCCCATTTTCCCTGGGTTACATAGTGGGCTTTTGGAGTGGGCTGGATGACCATCTTTTCAGACTGATACCAGCAGGATAAACATCTCGTACCCTGACACAGTACGTTGACTATTTGGCTGAATGGTTCAGGCTTTACCATTGGTGACCATTCACCCAGGGCCCCTATCTCAGAAATCCTCCATACCGGGTTGGATCTACCGGGTTAGGCAACTGCCACCCTAAGAAAAAGTGTTGCCACCCCATCTGCAACCTAAGAATAATCCTAGTATAAAATACAAATGTAAGCAGATTTTCCTGTACTGCTTTTAAAACTTTGATACTTCAATGTGGTTAAAAAAACACAACTAGACCCCAACAAATTAATTAATTACAGACCTATCTCGAATCTCCCTTTTCTGTCAAAGATACTAGAAAAGGTAGTATCATCACAACTATGTTCCTTTTTAGAGAAAAATTATATCTGTGAGGATTTCCAGTCAGGATTTAAACCGTATCATAGTTCTGTCAGGACCACTATTGTCATAATGATGAACACTTAGTATACAGTTTGGTTTAATGGTATGGTTCTGGGCAAAAAACTCCTTGCCCATCCATGCAGCCTGTCATGAATGAGCAGGGAGAGCAGCGGTAATAACCCCGCTAGGGTAAACAGAACAGAACAAGCAGATATCATTAATGTACTTCATGATATTGAAGTGTAACACATTATTCAAGATAAAGGAGTCTGATTCAACAAGGAATATCAGAAAGCCAAGTCCTGACGGTGGCGAAAGGAGGAGTTGGGGATGGAGGAGGGTAATTTGCTCCTGAGCAAGTGAAAAAGCTGCAGAATAATACTGAATAGAGCTTATATAGGAATGCAGTGATAGGTGTCGTATTCCTATAGGTAGATGTGATCAGCTGGGAGTCAGCTGA